AATTTTTAAACTGTGATTTCAATTCATCACTGCACTGGATGTTTATCAACTCAAGTTGGACATCTGGAGGGGTATCTTCCACTTTCACATCAAATGGAGTTGAAAAAAGTTGCAGGTAGATCTTGTATTTCTGGAATTCACCAAACCTCTCATTGAATGATGTAAGGAGGGTGTTAACTTGGTCAGAGTAATCCATCTTCATATGTGGGTATTTCTCTTTCATGGCCTTGCAATGTGGAAAGTGTGTAAAGTTCTCTGATTGCATGTGGGACTTGAAAAGTGATAGTTTGGTCATAAATGCATTGATGTTACTTGTCAACTGAGAAACAAGTTGCATCTTTTCCTGCAATCTCAAATTAAGGTCGTTTAGATAAGAAGTAATGTCAGCAAGGAAAGCTAAATCACACTGCCATCTTTGTTCCTCCAAATTCCTTGTAGTGTTCCCCCGTTATTAGAGGAAAGTGATAATAGGCCCCAATAGCTCCACAAATCTCTTGAGGACTGCTGCCTTGCTCAGCCAACAAACTTCAGTATACGTGGGCAGGTCAGCATAATCAGCATCTATTTCTTCAAGAAATGATGTGAAGAGTCGATGGTTGAGTCCATGACGGCGGATTAAGTTCACAGTATCATAGACATCTTTCAGCAGACGTTCAAATCCCAGCTTCTTTGCACAAAGTTGCTGTTGGTGAATTATGCAATGATACTGGACTAACTCCTTTTGCCTGTCCCCAAGGTGGTTTTTCAGCAAGGTGACCATGCCATTCTCACATCCAACCATAGATGGTGCTCCATCGGTGGCAATGCTGGATAGCTTGTCAAAGTCCAGTGCTGATTTGTTGCAAACGCTCAATAAACTAGTAAATAAGTCAGCACCAGTTGTATGTCCAGAAAGTGATGCCATGCCAAGAAATTCTTCATTCACAATAAAATCTAGTGAAACACTTCTAATAAACACAATCACTTGTGCTGTTGATGATATGTCAGTGGATTCTTCCACAGCCAAAGAAAAATAAGCACAGTTTGCAACTAAAATATTAAGTTGGCCAGAAATGTCTGATGCAATTTGCGAGATTCTTTGTTGTATCGTCATGTGGTTAAGACTGATTGTTTGAAAACACTGTCTTCTCAGGACACATCTCACTTGCGATGATAAGACACTTTTTTATCATATCGCCATCTGTGAAAGGTTTCCCATTCTTGGCTATTAAAGCAGATATTTCTAGGCTGGCTTCAACAGCCGCATCCAATTCTCCAGATTGTTTCTTGAACACATTTTGTTGGCTGATTAGTGATCGTCATAACAATTCGATTTTCCGTACCTTGCAGAAAGAAATCCTTGTGTTGGCTTTCATGATGTCGCTTCAGGTTGAATTCTTTTGGCACTGCTATTGTTCCATTGCACAAGAGGCAAATAATGCTGTTGTTCTATTGCACAAAACAGTACTTGTTAGTCCACACTTCTTGAAACTGACGATTCTCGCAATCGACCTTGCGTTTAATGCCGGGCGCCATACTGTTCACTCTGCAAAACAATGTCTCGTTGTGCCAAAAATTCTGAAGCCTGCAATGAATCGTGTTTGAGATAAGGCAAGCTAGACTATCACGTGCTTTGTTCTGTATCCACTCTGACCAAAGACTAAAGAGGCAGGGACAGAAGACTATTACGCACACGTGGCCAGGCAGGTCTTAATTCGTTCGACCCCTGTCCGGGCGTCTCCACCATTTCTCAGAATTTGTGAGTCAGATCGTCAACATGCCAGGTGCAGGACACTAATCCATCATAAATGTGGTTACCATTCTTACCTAAATTATATTTATGGCCCGTCAGTTTTACCCCCGTGTTCAGAAATGAATCAAAAGTGATTAACACAGTGCAGTGGAAAATCTGAATATTTTAAATATAATTATTAAAATTGCGATATCTCGTTTCAAATTGGCGCTAGAATCAATTTGTTTTTTGTTTTCTGTCATAAATATATCACAGTTTACGACTGTTAAATTTCAAATAAAATAAAAATTAAAAATAATAATTTAATTTTAAATTTACGAAAAAAAGAATGTAAAAATAAAAGTAAATAAAAAGTTCCAATTAATTTACTACTTAAATAACCTAAATATATCTGTTTTCTTTCAAACAAAAAAAACCGCAGCTTTCTAGCTACACGGAATCATTTTACAACCCTCTTTGTTGACAAGTTTATGGCTTGACGCGGTTTGTAATAATTATTAAATCCAAAATATTTTAATGCAAATGGCTTCCTTTTAGTCGTAATGACTCTATTCCAACTACAGTATTAATTTTCTTGGTCCAACTTAATAATAATAAATTTGATGTGAAAAATTTTTTTTCTATTCTTTGTCTATGGAGAGATATTGTTGTAAATTATTGGTTTTATAGCTTTTTGTACATTCCTTTTTGAACTCTGGTTAGTTTTTTTCTAGTTTGAATGACATTAGGTTGACGAATAAGCGTCTTTTCAGAAAAGATTGATTCAAATTCGACTATACCAATCAGAATCTAGAATGTAAACAAATGCTAAAAAATCGTTATTTTCATGGTTTTTCAGCGCTATTTTCACTTATTTTTGTTATTTGACGCTATTTAGACGAATAGGCAAGTTTTCCGAAGCATAAAATTGAAGATTTTCCGCCAAAATAGAAACTTCCCGATAACATCGGAAATGACGTTCTAACATCATTTTAAAATATTCGATATCTAAACCAGAAAGTGTTAGCTAGAAATAGACTTATTTATAGAACAATCCCCCATTTCTCACCTCAGGGAAAGTCATAAAACAGTTGGGTGCTAATGACTTTGTGAAAGGGAAAAAGTTCTACACTTAGAAACTTCGAAAGAAGGGATTTGGCCTGTACCGTCCGCGGGCCGCATAAACATTGATAGGGGGCCGTATGTGGCCCGCGGGCCGCAGGTTGTGCACCCCTGTGTTAAGTATCATTTTGCACTAAATTTAATACACTCATGTTTGTGAAAATTGCAACACCATGAAGGAATTGTGCAAATTGAACCAAACTTATAGGAAATGTAAAGTGAGGTAAGACATGCAAATGAATAGAATTACAAAGCGATTGCACATGCGTGGAACGAGAACCAGTTCCTTATCAGCCACTTGTTGCAGGTCTATAAAGGGCTGTAAAGATGCATTAAAATCCATTTATCTTCCCCTGTCTGTGGTAAACATTTCATTGGTGGTCAGTATGCCTCATCAAAAGCTGAGGAAGCCATACCAACAACTAATGGAGTTTGTACGAGGCCACATCATCGGTATGCAAGAGGGTGGATTTTCATATCAAGAAATCGCAGTCCACACACAGTGTAATGTCACAACAGTGATGCATGTTTGGAAGAAATGGACAGAGGAGAACCAAATAAGACGAAAACCTGGCAGTGGGGCAAGCAATAGCACAATGGTATGGGACGACAGACACCTAATCCACATGGCTGTGATGGATCGTACAGCGTCCTCTTGTGTGTTAGCACAATGTTGGAGCACGGCTACAGGTGTTTTGTTGTCTAGCTCCACGGTTTGTCACCGTCTGCTGCAGCATGAACTGCGTGCAAGGGTTCCTCTACGCGGGATTCTCCACTTGATGATTCAGACACCTTCGACTTCAATGGGTTCAGCAACACAGTGCATGGTGTGCTCAGTGGCAACAAGTTGTTTTTTTCCAACAAATCTTGCTACAATCTGCAGTACAATGATGGAAGAGTATGCGTCAGACATTATAGAGGGGAACATCTGCTCTCACAATGTGTTATCCAGTGTCATACCACATAAATGCCTGGCATCATGGTGTGGGGATCTATTGGGTATAATTGTCGATCCTATCTAGTGCACATTGCAGGCAACCTCAACAGTGATCGCTACATATGGGAAATTGTGGAGCCAGAGGTCTTCCCCCTTCTTTGACGAATTCTAGGTACTGTATTTCAACAGGATAATGCCTGCACACATGTTTCTCAGACTGCACAAGCCTTCAGTGCACAACAGGTTTTGCTTCTTCCATGGCCTGCTTATTCCCTGGATATGTCGCCCATCAAGCATATCTGGGATTTCATTGGTCTGCGACTCGCTCTTACAGCTGGTGGGGCACACAATAAGACTGAACTTTGGCATCAAGTCGAAGCCATCTGGAATGCCATTCCCCAGGATTACATTCAGAACCTGTATGATTCAATGTCACGACGTGTACAGGCTCTCATTGCTCAGCATGGCAGACACACACTGATTTCTGATGTTCTTTTTGGTTTTTTGTCTTGTAAATTTGATCATTTATTTTTACCACTATCAGTAATATGTGGAATAAATTTCATTAATTTCTGACAATTCCTTCATGGTGTTGCAATTTTCACAAACATGAGTGTAATTAGAACTTAATGATTTAGTTAATTTAGAGAAATCTAGCAGAAAAGATTTGGAATGGAATGGTAATGAAGACCACTCTAAATCAACCTAGGCAAATAACATGATTGGTTTAAAAAATTATAGAAAATATGAGAGAGAAAAAAATCCCTCATTCTGTTCTGACTTTAGAGGTAATCCACACAATAAATAGGTGTTTTGTATTTGTATAAATTTTGTATTTTTATAAATTTTTAAAATTTTAATTATCTGGCCCCATTGGATATTTTAAATTTTACAAATTTTATTAAACATTATGCTGGGAAAGGATGTTTTCTCTGATAAACTACGGCTTTGTCATAAATGATCAGCAGCATTTTATAAAACATTTTCTGTATACAAAACAAAATATAATAAATTTCTTAATTGGAATAAATTAAATCACAAAATCAATAATTTTAGCATGATTAATCTGCATATCAATACAGTCAGATATCAACTTATGCACAAATATCTAAAGATATTCTAAAAGTTATATACTAAAATATAAATATTTTAAAATTATTTATAAAATGTATTTAACTAATTCAATTTCTTCTAAAATAATAATGCATTTTTTTATTTAATATGTTTCAGTTCCTTTATTGTGTTGTTGAAGATTTATGCGGACAGAGACCACCACTTTTTTGTGACTATTCTGAGATTTGGTCTTTGACCGAATGGTGGGATGTGAATAATTCTCTGAAGAAGTTTTTTAGCAATTCTGCAAAATATATTGAAAATAAAGAAAAAGTAAGTTATATTTTATGTAGGTCTAATTATTTTTTGAAATGTTCATTTATTTTCATTAAATGTTAGAAACTTAAACTAATATTGCATTTAATGTAAGGAAGAAACTGTATTGTCTTTCATCATTAGATTTATTTACTTGAATTAAATACACACAAGTACAAATAAATATATACTTGCTTACTGGAGACTAAAAATTAATAATATAAAAAACCATTCAAAATTCCAGCAAAATTCTTTAATAACATAAGAACATTTTCAAACACATTAAGCGTCCATCTTCAGTTATTTTTCTAAAATCGAATGCGGAATTTGAAAAATTACACAAGCAAAAATTTCAAATAGTTTGTTATACAAATATTAAAAAGTGACACGTTATTAATAAAAGCACTACACATAATAAAATTTCGGTATGTTTAAAATAATAAATAAATAAATAATTTATCAAGAGTTATCTTAAGCTTAATTAAGCCTTTATATAGAACTTGTCACAAAAAGATTTCCAAGCAGATGAAAGTCTGTCGGTTCCCTATAGTTAATGCATTGCGTGCTCTTCTGTGCACTGTGGATTTCCAGTTTTTCCAGATACTTTATTGCATGTTTAGATCTAGTGGCTTTTATGATAGAGGCCTGGTCCCAGAAAACTGTGATGCCTTGTTCTTTGGCATAAGTGGCAAGAACCGTACTGTCAATGGTTTTGTTCACCGATAGCTTATGCTCATTGATTCTTTTCTTCAAATTTCTTAACATTGCCCCTATACACACTAAGTTAGAGTTGAACCTATGATCTCTTAGCGGTATTGGGTATATTCCTGTTAAGGAGTTATGTTCATAACTTCCCTTGTCATTCTTTAATAACCTGTACATAGTGGGATTACGTCGATAAATTATTTGTAAGTTCCTATCTTTGGAAATTCTCTTAAAAAACAGTTTAAGGAAGAGTATGTACCTGAGGACCACTTTTTCTTTTTGGCAGTTTTCCTTTTGCTTACGTGTAAGATTACTATCTTTCTTAATGAGAGCTTCTATTCTTTTTCTTCTATAGCCATGCTGTAAGGCTGTTCTTCGAATATACTGTAATTCGTTAATACTGTCGCAAACGTCTGTGCAATGGGTGTGTGCCCTCCTTATCCAAGAGCAAAACACCGCCATTTTGATATTCTCTGGATCCGCCAAATTCTTAGGGATAATGATGGGGAGTGACGTCGGTTTACGATATGTGCTGGTTCGGATTTCCCCTTCTATGCATGTTATAGTTAGATCCAAGAAATTAACGCTAATATTACTTTGTTGTTCTAATTCAAAGGTTAAACCATATGGGTTACTGTTTATTAGATCTATAAAACGTTTGGTGCTGCGATTATCCTTCTACAAAATAAAAATGTCGTCAACATATCTCACGTATATCAGTAAATCTGTTGTAACGAAGGGAGGATATTGTTTTCTAGATTACGGAGTGCCAACTCGCAGAGTACTGATGACATGGGGCTACCCATTGGTACTCCCCGTCCCTGTAGATAAGTTTCATTTTTGTCCCCTTCTAACATGCATAGAAGGGGAAATCCGAACCAGCACATATTGTAAACCGACGTCACTCCCCATCATTATCCCTAAGAATTCGGCAGATCCAGAGAATATCAAAATGGCGGTGTTTCGCTCTTGGATAAGGAGGGCACACCCCCATTGCACAGACATTTGCGACAGTATTAAGGAATTACAGTATATTCGAAGAACAGCCTTACAGCATGGCTATAGAAGAAAAAGAATAGAAGCTCTCATTAAGAAAGATAGTAATCTTACACGTAAGCAAAAGGAAAACCGCCAAAAAGAAAAAGTGGTCCTCAGGTACATACTCTTCCTTAAACTGTTTTTTAAGAGAATTTCCAAAGATAGGAACTTACAAATAATTTATCGACGTAATCCCACTATGTACAGGTTATTAAGGAATGACAAGGGAAGTTATGAACGTAACTCCTTAACAGGAATATACCCAATACTGCTAAGAGATCATAGGTTCAACTCTAACTTAGTGTGTATAGGGGCAATGTTAAGAAATTTGAAGAAAAGAATCAATGAGCATAAGCTATCGGTGAACAAAACCATTGACAGTACGGTTCTTGCCACTTATGCCAAAGAACAAGGCATCACAGTTTTCTGGGACCAGGCCTCTATCATAAAAGCCACTAGATCTAAACACGCAATAAAGTATCTGGAAAAACTGGAAATTCAGAGGGCACAGAAGAGCACGCAATGCATTAACTATAGCAGTTCTAACAAATCATCGTCCCCTTCAATAAAACCGTTATGTAGTACCGCTCCTTCACTACAAAATTCCGATGCCAAGGGCCAAGACTAACGCCAAATTCATACTGCATTGAATAGTATAATGTTATTTGTTTAATTATTGTACAATATAACAAATAAAATATCTAATTATTCTTAATATAATGTTTTACTATATCGCCCAGAAAATTGTTTTTTGTCCCCCAAAATATAAATTCTTACTAATCGCCCACTCAACATAGAAAAACGCCCCCGTTGAGAAACACTGAACTATAGGGATGCCGATGGGCTTACATCTGCTTGGAAATCTTTTTGTGATGAAGTAGCTTAGTTCTATATAAAGGCTTAATTAAGCTTAAGATAACTCTTGATAAATAATTTATTTATTTTATTATGTGTAGTGCTTTTATTAATAGCGTGTCACTTTTTAATATTTGTATAACAAACTATTTGAAATTTTTGGTTGCATAATTTTTCAAATTAAGCATTCAATTTTAGAGAAATAACTGAAGATGAATGCTTAATGCATTTGAAAATGTTCTTATTAAAGAATTTTGCTGGAATTTTGAATGGTTTTTTATATTATTACACACAAGTATTTTTGACATTTCAAAATGTCATCCTCAAGCAAAGAAAGAATATACAGTATAACATTTGATTATTATTATTTGAATTTTGAATATCAAAAATGTCAAAAGCACCAGTGTGTATTTAATTCATTAAGTAAGTAAATCTAATGTGAAAGACAGAGAAGACACTTGTCACATGACACAATTCATAATTATTCCAGATGTATTGAAATTTTGAAACAAATTACTTTGAATTAATAACTTAATAAATGTATTTTTATTTTTATTTTTATTTTACATTAATGCATTATAACAAACTTATTAACTTTTTATTAATAATTAAATGTTAAAAAATTATTTTACAATTATTTATTGATAGATAGATATAATTTTTCTTTATTAGATTCAGCAAACTTTATCTCATCTGTTACCAGAATACAGAGAAAAAGTTCTCAACTGTTTGAATATTTGTCAAAATGATATAGAGAAGGCCCTTGTAGAGAAAACTAATTCTATTTGTGATAATTATTTAAAAGATTTTGATTGGAAATTAAAGGTAATTATATATTATTCTGTAAAAAAAATAATTTTATTTCAAATATTAATATTTATGAGAAGCTTTAATGCTGTAGCTATTTTTAATTCAAAAACAGTAAATTTTTGTTAATTTGAAGTCAATAACATTATATTACATTCATTAATTGGAAATTTTAAAATGCTTTCAAATAATTAAATTAAAAATAAATTGTATTATACATTACAAATAATGTTTGTAATGCATATATGATAAAGAATGAGCTTGTCCAAAAGTCAAAGAATGACACTTTGGTAACCTTTACATATTTTGTATGCCAAATTTGGATTTTCATGCATTTTCTGCCAACAAATAAAAATTTCCAGCTATTGCCTTGTGCTAGTTTGTTTTCTACTGATTTTGGTAACAGCAAAATTAACAACAAAAATAAATGTTTTCTGTTTAATCTAGGTTTTAATACCTTGTATTGTAAAATATTCTGCAAAAAACTTTCTACCTTAACAGCAACTTTTATAATATACAAAAGTTGAGTAACAGAATTATATCTGTGTTTAGGAATACATTACAATTGCAATTAAAAGTTAGAGACTGTCTGGATTCTAGTTATATTGATTGTTTCTAATTAAAGAGTCCATTAATAAGCAATATTGCTTATTAATTCATTGTTTGAAGATAAGAATCCAGATTAATGAAGCAATAATAGTATAAAAATTTGATTTTGTTTATAAGAAAATATATATACTCAATCTTGTACAGTTGATTCTGAATTTTGAAATTCATAATTAAACTCACTGTAATCTTAGTGAATATTATTATTTAGTATTCATTCAAAATTGAATTTTAAGCAGTTCTATATTCTATAACCCTAAATTTCCTGTTCTGAAATCTTACAGTATAAATTGATAACCAGTCTATAAAAATAAATATTTTTCTAAATTATTTCTCAAACATTTTTTTTTCAGTTGATATTATCAAGTGATAGTTTGTATAATATAAGAGAACCATGTCTAGAATTGGATTTAATGTTGGTCAGTGATGATGACAAAAAACAGCTGTGTGTTGAAATGTCAAAAGAAGAATTGAAAAGCTTCATTGATACATTAGAAGCAGCACATAAGGTAATTTTATTATTATTATTAATTTCAGTTTCTTTGTTGCTTTGCATGTGTAAAAAATATAAACATTTATTTAAAAAACGTAATTTACAAACATTCATGTTGTTATCCTTAAAAAATATCACTAACTATATGTTCATAAATTTACTTGATTCAAAGTAATTCTGCTTACATACCTGAAAAAATGAAGTTTTTGTTCAAATGTTATTTCAAGATTCAGAACAAAAACTTTAATTGATCAATGCTATTGCAATTTTAGTGGAGAACTCGTCACAGATTTTTAGGTTATTGGCAGGTTAAATATTTTCTTAAAAAAGTCATAAAAAAGATTAAGAAAAATTCAAGGAATTATCAATACTTATTCCAATCCTTCATTGTCATCTATTTGAAAGTGATGTCTCAATAGATGCAGTCTTTCTAGAAAGGATTGAAGATGATTTTTAGATGAACAACAATGCAACAATTTTTGTAGAAATACATTTCAATTCAATGTTTTTATAATCTAAGCCAATCAGAATTGTTTAATTAAGCTTATATTTCTTGTCAGGTAGAAAAATAATTCCAAGTAATCCATTATCTTTTGTATATTTTCTAACAAGAATTTCACAATGTGAGTTGTAATAAAAGATTTATAAAAATAATTTTGCAGTCCAAACAATAACAGAAATGTTGAAATAACTTCAAGTTTACATAAAACAACTGTGTTCTTTGACAGATCTCAGCAAGAGAAAAGTCATATACTTAGTTTTTTCTTATCCTGCAGTCGGTCCAAGAATATTAGATCGATGACATTTTTCAAAAAAAGTATCACAACTAATAATAATAGTCATTGTATCTTTAATTAGGGTAAATTGTGTACATTTTTAACAACTTGCTATATACAGGCTTCAAACATATATATAAAACTTTACACATTCATTTTATTACTTGCTATGAATAAATGAATTGTTTTCTTTTTTATTTTCAGGTTGTTGTTCAAATGATGGTGTGAGATGTAGTAATTCTGATGTAAATTATGGTATTATGAAACATTAATAATTATATACAGTATCACATAACATGTACAACTCCATGAAATAAATTAACAAACTTAATTCACAAGCACTTGAATTGATTTTTATAAAACTTCTAGGTCAACGTGTCGAACTTCTGGATGCCTTTTCTGAAAAACAAGCAAGAAAATTTAATAATTAGGTATTGTTAATGCAGCAAACATAAATTATATTACCTTTAACCCCTTTTCAATTCTGTCCACTTCACCACCCAACATGTCAACGATATTTTCTCCGTGTCTCAACATAAATGCTTCGACTTCTTCAATAGTCTTTACTTTTTGCATTTCCTTTTATTTGTTAAAATAGAATACAGAAAGTTAATCATCATATTTAACTGTAACAATATAGAATGTGTTATTACAGTAGATGCTCCATATTTGCATAGATTGCAAATAGCATAGCTAGAATTCACCTATTCATAGAAAGATGAACAAAAATAAAAACACACTTTATAATATTTTAACAAAGAGAAAAAATAATGTGGTCTAATGATGAACATTTCATGTTATTTCAGCATATAAGTGTAGAAACAGAGGAGTATCTGCCAATTTGACTATTACGACATATTGCCCTACATAACCTAATGGAACAAAACACACAACTGTGGCATAGTGGCAGAAGTTGTCAACACTTCATTCTATACTGGCAAGTGTGAATGATCAAAATATTGGCCTTCTGGCTCTATCTCATGGTGTTGTTGATTCAACAAAAACCTGCTCCAAGTAGTGGCATCTGTGAATGTCGGCTTTTTGATTGTTGCAGATCTGCAAGTAAAACGTTATATACTTTGATATTTTGCCACTGACGTGATTCTACAGTAAGATACAGGTAAACTTTCAGGTAAGTTTCCAAAAAAAATTCTGCTTTTAGCATATATAATGTTGCTCTGTCATGTGGAAGTCAACAACCCACAACTTGAACATCTTGAAAGCAAACCGTATTCATTCTGTAGAGGGATATTTATTTTGTGTCATCTGTAATGTTTACCAAAAGATGATGCTGTATATCGTTTCTTAGATTAAGAGTTTGTAAAATTTATAATCCCCTTGTATATTAAGAAAAAAGAGGCAGAAATTTCTTGGTAAAAGTAAGTGAAAAGATGTAGGTTTAGAGAATTAAAAAAATGTACTTCTCCTTTGCATAACAATCCTGCAAATATGTAGCTGAACTAGAGTGTAAAATAAAAATGTATCTTAACATATAAATTATATGCTAGTTTAGATGATCCAACAAATTATGGTTATCAACATGATAAATACAATAAAAAGATTTTTGGATTAAAGTTATCCAGACTGATCAATAGTGTGAGAAAAATTAATATCTCAAATAAGAAATAATTTCAGGCATATTGGCTTGTAGATGGCAATAATGTGGATACCTTTATCCTTACAAGGAGACATCCAAGCTTTGACATCCTGGATTTTGCTGAAATTTTAATGTGTTATGTTATGGTATTATGCACATGAGAGGGATATATTATAATTTGTGCCATTGATCAGTAGTTTAAGAGAAATTATTATTATATATTAAATTTTATAAATGGACCTGGATCTGAACTAGTAAGTAGAATACAATGTTAGAGTTTAATGTGAGTTCATCCTGCATTTTTTTACAAATTTTTCTGAAGTGTGAAATTTAGTGAATTATTAGAAAATATTTCACCCAAAATATTATGCAAATGATTTTAATAATTACAAAATACAGTCGACCCCCCCTATAACACTGTTGATAATTCCATTTTATATGAATTCCATGTTATATGAGTCACTTAGATTTTACAAATATGTGAGCCGTTCACAGTCCAGCACACATATTTGTAAAATCTAAGTGACTCATATAACATGGAATTCATATAAAATGGAATTATCAACAGTATTATAGGAGGGGTCGACTGTAGTATTTTGGGTCAGATGTATTTTCTAATAATTCACTAGATTTCACACTTCAGAAAAACTTGTGAAAAAGAAGTTGGAAAAAAGCAGGATGAAGCTGACTTTATGTTGCGCTTTTAAATCTGGTGCTTTACTTGTTACGATTCATTTATAGAACTCAATATAGAATTCGAATGGAAAAGTTTAAATAATGATTTCTCTTAAGCTATCTCTCCGTGCATTAGTAGAAGGGGTGTATTAACATTTCAGCAAAATCCAGGATGCCAAAGCTTGGATGTCTTCTTGTTAGGATACTCAAACTACTAGTATTTCAAAATGGAGTAAAGTCCAGAGCAGCTGTTACAGTAGAGTCCCACAAACTCAACTTTATGTGGACCGAGAAGGTCATGAGTTACCAAAAATGACAAGTTTTATGACATACAAATGATTCTAGTCTAAACAGCAAAATTTTTGTAAAGGTGTTACACATGAATTTGCAAATATGGTCACTATTGGCATGTGGTTACTATTTCTATTTGTAAGCAAATTTTAATTACAAAAATACTACTTTTGAGTTAGTGACACTTGCATAGTGGCATTTGCAATGGGACCTTGGAAAAATGGTTATATTCTTTTGTTAACAAGTAGAACTGATGCTATTAACAAGTGTCACCAGGCAAGAACCATAATTTATTTGATCCTAGCGTTGTGTAATCTAATTTTTACCTCTAGAACTTGTATTTCTTTTTTTGGACAATATGACAAATTTTATGGAATGTCATATTATCAAGAGTCAAGTTTCTGGGACTAGTGTTTTTTATTCATTTCTGTATAAAGTAGTTACATCTATCTCGGACAAGTAAACTAAATATTTATATAACACATTATAAACCTAATAATTACTATTAAAAATGAATTTTTATCAGAAATTATTACAATAATTGCTGATAAACAATCACAATATCAGTTTAAATTCAAATAAAACTTAGTGTTTTAAAATTGATAGTAATAAACTTAGATACTAAATTTTAACATAAAATACTAAAATCATAATAATGTCTATTCAGAATTTTTTATCTAATATCAAATTAAATACTTACATTTAGTAACATCTCCAAATCTTGAGAGTCCAGATATGATCTACTAAGTTCACGTCCATCAAAATCTACTTCTGCTTTATAACGGACAAAATTATTTCCCATGTCTGTTGCCTTTACATCATGTAAAGCCCTTTTAAAATTAATAAAAGGAAAAACAATATATAAATTCAGTTCTTAATTTTCTAAGAATGAAGAAAATCTACAATTTCATAAGTAAATAAATTTATTGACAAAAAAGTTATAAACCTAGATAAAATTATCTGTATGCAACTGTTTCAGACAGAATGATTACAGTTGTGGTCCAATTGCATGTGTGAGCAGATACCTGACATGGTGCACCCCTACAGTGAAGTTCAAAAGTAGGATTACTGTCACTCACACTTCTGCAGGATGATGCAAGCGGTTGGAACTACAAGGGGGTAGTGGTGGCAGACACAATTATCTTTGTACATTGATGTACAGCTCTAAGAAATTCTAACTTTAAATAAATATGATTATCTAAACCGAACACTAAGATATTCTAAAGACTATGATAGAGGGACATTGCTACAGTTAGTTGTTCTGTAGTCAGATGATTCCCTAGATGCTTGTTGGTTTTTCCTCCTCTTTTGATGTAGAGGTCTAGATTGGAAAACAAGATAGTTGATCCTTTGTACAAGAGGTTGTGTTGATGGAAGGAGAGTTGATTTTTTGGGTTAACAAACTGATGCAAGATGATGTTTGATCTTAGCTAAGACAACACAAAACTGTTCCTTCACCCTTCGGGAGGGGAGAAGATGAAAGACTTGTCTTGGGGATCTGTCCCTTTATACAATTTTGACTTGGAGCCAATAATTTCAATTGCTCCAAATCCCCTCTTTCCCTGCTTCCCATTGGTTTCTGTTCTGTTACTAAGGGCTGAATTCAGGTTGGAGGAGGTAGATGTCTCCCTTGTCACCAATGCTGGATTTATCATTCCCTCAAGTATTTAATTATAACTTCCTTGGGGTGATAGCCCATAATTAGGGGAGGAGGTGTTTTTCTGTTTGGGAATTAGTACAGCTGCAACTAATTGGTCATACTTGATACTTAAATATCTTAATGTTTCCTCTTTTGTTTGTCCGATGTATCGGGTGGAAAGTTGAGATTGCTTGTTTACAATTTTGTCCTTTTTCATAGTTTAACTCCCTTAGTTTAATTCCATAAGATAAACTCAAAGATGGAGAGATGATGTCTCACAAACAAATAAACATTTTTACAACTATGTTTTTTTTTTTCTTTCTTTCACTGAGTTAGAGAACAAGAGAACACAAAAACAAGTGAGGGCGGTTATGACGTCATACATCAGCCAATGCTACCAGTGTCTTAAAATTGCTACCCCCATTGCTATTCTATAAAATGGCTCATAGACATTCACTGTGTTCAGAATTTTCAGTGTACCTGTTCTTTGAGCACAACGATGTCACACAGGCCTGCCTCATCTCTTTGACTCAAAGACATGCATACAGCTGATAAAGTTTCAGAAAGGCTGCAGGATAGCAGGCAATTTAACTATTAATACCACTCACATTCAGGTCATTTTGACCTGAATGTGAGTGGTATTAATGGCAAAGGTGCACAAGGGCACATATGCATGTAGGCAGAAGAGATAATGATCTGATTGTGTCACAAGCAAAATGCTGCAGTGGTATCTTTGTCCATCATCCAGAAACTAGTGGAAACTTTGCTACAAAACTTGTTTTTTCCTTGCAATTGACAAGTGATTAGCAGAGGCAAATTTGCATAAAATGTGATCACCATGTCCTGCCATTAGGACCTTAACATTGCCAACTTCATTTGCAGTGGTGACAGAGGCATGGAATGCTACAAACTGGCACTGTAGTGTCTTTAGCAAGAAATCCCAGTTCTGTTTGGGAATGGACAACCACAGTGTTAGAGTATGGAGGATTACCAGCAAGTGCTTCAATCCCATCTTTACTGTTGAGCAGCACACTGCTCCACTGCTAGTGTGCTGGACTGGAAGCCATCTTGTATTGAAAATCAGTCTTCTCTAATAGTGATGCACTGTTGAAATTGACAATAAAGTGGTATGTTCAGGAAATCTTGTAACCTTCTCTCTTTTCTTGGAAGGCTGCAAATAGCCATTTTCTAGCAAGATGCTTAGTGGCACCCAACTAGTTTCCCAGGAATATCTACATCATGCTGTCATATTTCATTGGCTTGCCCTGTCTCCAGATTTGTGAGTAGTTTGTGGCACCAAATGGGTCATCAGCTTCGGCCATCTAAAAGTGTGAAGGATCTGGAGCAGCAGTTGCAACATGTGTATGTAAATCTGTTGCAGAATAGCACACAGTGCCTGTATGTCTGACCATATTGCCACACATTTAGACAAGAGGTGGTCTTACAAGGTATAAAGGCTTCTTTAAATTGTACTGGTGTTCTACAAGAAATTGTCCCTTTGGTACAATGCTGTAATATCACTATCATCATTACATTTGCACTAACAGAGTTTTAGCAAATTCCTTCTTGGTGCATAATTTTATTGTCAATGAGTGTAATTGCAAGTCTTGTATTGATAAATTGGAGTGAAGATATAGTTTTACTAGGGATTAGTGCTGGATGCAAAGTAAATAATATTTCTAAATTTTCTCTATATTCACTTCAAAGTTTTTATAATAATCACTAAGAAATGTTTTTGAAATTTAAAAATAATATTTTATATGTTAAAATATGATTTAGATATTTTAATTATTATTAATATATCAAAGCAATTTTTCCAAACTGATAATAGTAAACTAAACCAACCAAGGTTTTTCCACATTAAATATTTTTAGAGATGTGAAATAAATAAATTTAATTAAACAAGTAAAATTCACAAGAAATTTCCAAGATGGTGCTCATCAATAATATGTTATTTTTCTTGAGTTTCCGAAGTTTGGCAAAATATTGAAGGAAGCTCAACAGTGTTGGAATGGATTTTTTATTCCAAATAAAATAGATTTTTCATAGTTTGATCCTAACAAACGCTCCAAAATTTAACTTTTTGTAATTTAAATTTTATGCAAGATTATATCTTTCCACTGCATTTTACAGAATTCTATCCATTTAACACATAAAAAAGAGCAATCATTTGATTTGTAATAAACCATTATAGAAAAAGTTAATCATTCCCCAAACATCTAAACAATAATTAAATTTGTGATATTGAGTTAAGGTGAATAAGGTTGTAACAAACATTTTCAGAGATCTTTAATATATGACTGCAAAACTGCTGTATTTTATGTCATTAATGATGGAGAAAATGATTATGTTCAATAGTAGCAATCAAATGAACATTATTTGAATATTGTAAAAATAAATGTATGGTTTTTAAATCAAAATAAACTGCTTATTCTAAACAAATTATGCTAATTTTAAAGTGTACAAAGACTTTATAAGATGCCAATAAAGATATAAAATAAGATAACTCAAACTTTTGGTGTGTTTATACTGGATATTAAGTTGTTTAGAATCAATAAAATTTCTAATTGCAGCCTTTAAATTTTGAAACTATTAATTTTTGTCATAAAACTTAATTACCTGATCATCACGTCATTTTCCAATTCTTTGTTAATCTGCAACATTGTATCTGCTGGAATTGACCTATATATTAAAATAATAATATATCAAATTTAATTTTTTACTAATTTTTTTTTTTACTAATCTCTAAATACAATTACCTTCCAACTAAAGCAGCAATGTTGGTATATATTATGAAAGAAGCAACTGTTCCCAGAAGGCCACCGACTAATAATGAACCGGCGGCATCATATATAGGATTGCCCATGTACGAAGTTAATCCCATACAACTGCCCGCTATTAGAACTCCTATTACGGCAGCCAGGTCTTCTAGTAACACTACGTTTAAACTCGGATCGCGACTTCTGAGAACTGTAATGAAATAACAATGTAATATAAGCAATAAAGAAAGCAAATGAACTGGAATAGTGATACAAGTCTACTCAAAACCTTTTCAACCTTATTTAATACACCTTTCTCAGGTTATATTCATTATATCATTCAAAAATCAAACATGCTACATTGGAATGGCATATTTCAAATTTGAATTAAATTCCAGAGTGTTAAGTAATCAGACAGGGTATAATTGCAGGTGTAAAAAGAAACTAAAATAGCATTAAAAACCCACAATACATAACCACACTGTAATTGCATCCCTTCTCCAGGGGTTAATGCTAGAACTTAAACTTGAAATATGTCATTCTAATATACAATATTCAACTTTCAAATGATTAACAAATGTAGCCTGAAGGAGGCATGCTCGATAAGGTATTTATCGAGCAGGCCTCCTTCAGGCCTGCTCGATAAATACCTTATCGAGCACAGGGCCAAGAATTTGCACAGGGCCCATTCCTTTGCCCTGTGCAAGAATTTGCATTTATGCCCCTTAATGAATTAGGTTTGGGAAAATAATAAAACAAATACAGTGAAACTGCTTAGGCAATTCAACGGGCACCTGTCAAAATGGGCAAAAATTTCTGGCACTGAATAGTATAAGTTACCTGTATTAAACGACCACTTGTGTAACGCAACCGCGGGCATAGATTTTTGGTCCAAAACAACAAACAACAACTGTAATAAGCGACCACTTCTGTGAATATATCTGTCTAAACTATTGCTCGAACCCATCTCAACAACGTTTCCCTGCTCCTAATATAACGAATTAGTCTAAACTCTCATTCGAACAACCTCGGGCACTTCTCCTACCCTTGAAATTAGGTGCAGGTGTTAATGAATTAGTCTAGCAACTGTAGTATCGTGGTCTGTCAAAACAAACCCCAATTTTAGGTTGGGATAAGAATAACTGAGGACTTCACAGATGAATGAGTTAAAAAAAATTAGTTTAATGAATCAAACTTAACCGATGTACGACTATGAATTTACAAAAAATATTTTCAGATGATACTCCTTTCGTGGGTCACTCATGAATACACGTTAAAATCGGGGCTTACACTCTCCCTCTGATAACAAAGGCACAGAAAACATGTGGTGAGAAATTCACCTTATTCATGAAATAATGTTTGGGTAACCTTCTGCTACTTACTAGGATTTCTTCTGTTGAGGATCTGATGTATTTCGACAAAGTTCCTATGTCGATGAAAACAGATTTTCATTTCTATTTGTCTTCCTCCTTCCCGAAAGCTCTGGTCGGCAAATTGCTACCGTTTCCCTGTTTCGTCCCTTTACTCCCTACCGCTTTTCTTCACTCGGGAGATCAAATTGCTCCTCCAAGTTCAGGAAAGAAAAAAAAAAAAAAGAATGCCTGTTCCACCAGGTGTACCTCCTTTTAAACCTCCCTCCATCTGGGAACTTCCACACACACACACGTGATTCCATGTTAGCCAATAAACGTGCACAAGACTTACCGGCCGCAAGGCGGTGCGTGACAACAGACAACAATATTGTGTAACAATTTTTAAAACCAGTACAACAAAAATGAACAATAATACATATATAATATAATAAGGACATACATATAGTAGTGGAGCACTACACAACAAAGGAAATTCATTTCAGTTTGCTCGAAATTGTTTGAAAAACGAAAGAAACGCAAAGTGCTGTCGTTAGAAGATCGTGTTATCACAACAGCAATTAGTGGCAAAGTTTAACTGTGGGAAAACGAAATTGATTTTACCGTAGACATACAGTATTTTCCTTGGAGGTATAAAATATTGTACATGATACAATTAATCGGCTGATCTCATCATTTGATAAAATTTATTTTTATTTATTTTGAAGCTCATATACAGTACATTTTGGATAAATAGTTTCTGTATCAACCTACCTTATTTCCACGATATTTTTAGAAAAATAATATCCAAGTAATTTTTGCACGCAAAATATTCAAAAAACAAACGCATTAATGCAAAAATCAGTTTTACAGGCAACCTTCCTTTTTCGATTCCGCAATGACAATCGTGGAATTAATGAAATTGTATAATGAGCAAAAATAATAAATTCGTTTTATTATTAATTTTTCTTATTGTACTTAAGAAAATATTTAAAAAATACAGTATTTTTAAAGTTAAAATAAGATTAAACTAATGAATACCAAAACCATAGTGATGTAGAGATATGACACGTTTATATATCGATGACGTAATACACGTAACTGAGGATTGAATGAAAACAACCGAGTTGAATTAATTAAGTGGGAAAAAAGAAAGTGTGCATTATAATCAAGAAAATGCGACTATTGTATTAAATCTGTCTTATAAAATCACGACGACTCCTGTAAATCGAGTTATCTGATAAGAATAAAATACAATACTAATATAGTCCTATCGTTGAAAAAATTTGCTTATTTTTGTTCACCTCGAGTTTTGCTTAGTAGAAATGGCTAAAAAATGCACAAAATACTTACAGAAATACAGTATTATGGCACCACCTGTCTAAAAGACCACTTTTTGAAGGAACCGTGGGTGGTCACCATAGACAGGTTTTACTGTACATGCATTTTGGGCCCCCTTCTAAAGTGGGCCCTGTGCAGGTGCACCTGCCTAGTTATGTGCACTGATTAGAACTCCTATATAGTAGAAGAAAATTTCTAAAAAATTTTGAATTGAGATTCTTGAGTTCAATCATAATTAGTTAACAATATTTTCCTTTTATTGATATAAAATGTTTTTAAGCTTTCATGTGAACATGCAAATGGAAAAAAAGGCTGTTTTACTTTACAGTGATGATCTTGAATCTAATCAGCCATATTAGCAAGCTATGACCATACATTATTGTTTTAGTGTTAGTATGGTGCCTGTGCCTGTTAATTATATTCCTTGAATTTAGCTGAAAGAATTTTACAGATTTGCATAATTTAGTCAAATCATTTGAATGAATCTGTCACTAATTGTTATGTTCAATAATTCTGTTCTTCACAATTTTGGTTAAAGAACTATATGGCTATATTTGTTAGCTCAATCTTCTGAAGAAGCAANCATTGATTTTTCCGTTTTATCTGAATTACATGTTGTACGAGTCACTTAGATTTTACAAATATGTGAGCCGTTCACAGCCCGGCACACGTATTTGTAAAATCTAAGTGACTCGTACAACATGGAATTCATATAAAACGGAAAAATCAACAATCTTATAGGGGGGTCGACTGTATACAGATATTTTTGGCCTATTTGTATTGCATTATTATTATTATTTGTAAATTTATAAAACTGAATTTTTGTTTGTTAACATAAAATGATGAGAGTAATTATTTATTTCATCAGAATTATTCACTGTATTTCAAAAACTGAGTATAAGTAAGAATTTTCAAGAAATGATTACTGTAATTCAGTCATTGATCATGGTGTCTTAATTTGCATTAGTCTCGGAGGAAAAAAATTACATAGTGACATTACATTATTAATCTTTGTAGAATTTATTACCCCTGTTTTTGTTGTTTAGTCTAATATTAGTTGCATTCAGGTTGGAGCACTAGTGTATCCAACCTGATTGCAACTAGTGTACTACACTGAAATCAAGGCGAGTGCTTATCAGGATGAACTTGGTTCTCTTAAAATTGAGTCAATCTAAACACACAACAATATTATGTTGCCAACATGACTGTCTTAGTGCACACTAGTGCTCCAACCTTAGTGTAGGTAGGCTAGCCTCTTGTTGCACATATACAGGACCATTTTCAGGAAAACAGTAGTATTTGAATGTACAGTATCTACTTATATTAAATAAGTACCACTAAACATATGAGACTTCTTGGAGCAATTAAAATTGATTTTTTTCTGAATATTTTGTCTTATTTTCTTCCTCTGTTGGATATTAATTTTAAAATTGAGCTTTTTCATCAGATAAATTGCTCAAAATCCCTTAGAAGTTGAAAGAGAATGCTTATAATTTATGATTTACAATTTGATAAATTTATTTATTTATAAAGACCTAAATAATTATAGAAAATTTTAACTCACCTCCTTCAGAAATTAAAGAACCACCAAGAATAAAAAAGGCCTGTAATAAGTATGTAATTATATTTCAATGAAAACAATTTCATTATTAACACATTGGCATCTGATGACCAAATAATTATTATTTTACTTTAAAAATCATTGAATTCTTTAAGTAAATTAGATATAAAAATTGAAAAATGTAGCAAATTAACAAGAAAGCTATCCAATGGCAATGTGTTAATACTATGTCAAATGGTAAAAAATTAATTTTTTCTCAAAATATTTTAATAAAAAATAATTATATTGTAAAATGCTAAATGTTTTACATTGTAATTTATTAGATTGTTAATATAATTAATCATTTCAGTAAGTTACAAGAAATGTACTGAATAAAAATACTATAATAATGTCTATATTATTTTTAAAGTATGAATTAACTAGAATATTTTCAAAGAAATTTTTATTTATTGAAATTAACTTATTAGTTTCTAACACTTACCCAATAGAGAGATTCAATAACTTCAGGAAAAAAAATGCCCATTATACCATGGTAGATAGAAATACCTGTTCCAAAGCAAAATATACCAACACCACTGATTAAGGAAGCAACATATCTCATGTTATGATAGCCATATCTACACGTATCAGGAAAATTTCTTTAGTACATTTAACTAAATTTATGAAAAATATTTTAAAATTCAAAATTAACATACGGATGGTCCACGTCAGGTCTCTGAATTGATTTGCGAATTCCGAAAGCTAAAATTATCTAAAAAAAATGTATAAATCAATTTTCTATGGAATTTAATTTTTTATAATAAAATGATTTATGTAATATATACTGTTTGAAGGAAAAAATAAATAGGTTAATAAAAAATTTTAAACACTAATTAATTCTGTTTTTAAAAAGTAATTGTTGTTATTTTTTTAATACTCTTAAAATGATTACAATGATTTTTTTTAATCATTTCTAAAACCTGTAACTGAATGAAAATATTTATGCTCTTTACAAATAGCAAGAAAAGTAAAGATTAAATATTTACCTGATTGCAAGTATCAGCTAAAGAATGAATTGCTTCAGCAAACATGCTATGAGATCCTGTGTATAACCATGTAATGAGTTTAAATGCAAAATTAGCTCCATTTCTGCAAAATATTTATAAAATTTTTAAATTAACTGAAAATATTATAAAATCAAAATACATTTTTTAAAACTTTATTAAGTATTTTTTTATAATATATAAATATTTACAAGTAAAAGAGAATGTTTTATTATGGGTGCGCCAATAATAAAACATTTTTCCAATTGGATAGAATAAACCCTCGATCTTTCAAGAATGGAAGTAGGATCCCTGCCCTTGCTATTTATTCTATCCCATTGGAAAATATGTCGGGTGGGCACACCCATTATATTGGCACGACAACCAGAATGTTTTTTTGTTGTATTTCAGAACATCAGTATTCTATCAGGAAAAGAAAAGAATGTTTTATTGGTTCAAATTTCTCTAATTTTATATTTGTGTAAAATCAGTATTTCAATAATAATCAAAATATTCAGGAAAGTGCATGGATGTGTCAAAACTGTTTCAAAGAGTGTTTTCTTTGTTTTCAGAAACCTTTTCAATTCAATAAAAAAAAAGATCATGTAACATTATGAATAACTGATAATAGTTATTGATATACTTGGGACATAACATTATTTTGATTAATTAATTAACAGAATATACAATTTATAAAATTGTTGTCTATCTTTACACTTGGAGTGATCAATATTTCAATGAAAAGATATATTTTTGGTTACTAATAAGAGAAAATAAAAGAAAATCTTTATTTTCTTGCTATGTTTAGTTGGATATAGAGTTTAAAAATACTGAATTACCTTCTTAGTCATAGTGTAATCTTTTTAATTAATAGTGTTTTGAAAGTTGGACAAAGATGCTTTTTTAACAGAGTTAAAAAAAATGTTTATATTTATATTTTTAACTTCTATGCAATGTAAATGTTGAAGATAATAATACCTTCAAGACCACTTAATTCTGAATGTCAATAACAAACCAATATTTAAATTAAGAACTGTTTTTCCCCAAAAATAAGACCAGGTCGTATATTAATTTTTGTCCCAAAAGATGCATTAGGTCTTATTTTCAGGGGATGTTTTGTCCAAAGGTGCCAGCTTGGGTATTTACAAATACTTTATTTATATTTAATTATATATTATAATTATTATTTTATAATTCAATATGTCCATTGTGGGTTGCAACAGATATATTAAATATGACCATCTGGCTGACGATCTTAACTGGGGCTTATTTTGGGGTAGGGCTTAAATTACGAGCATCCTGAAAACTCATGCTAAGACTTATTTTCGGGGAAATGCAGTAATTATTATAATAGTTAATCCTGAGATATAACTTTTTAACTGTTATAATAACTGTTATAATTTTTTTGTAAATAGTCACAATTCAATTTTTAATTGAAGATATCCTGGGTTGTTTATGTTATCATGTATGCTGTTAGTGTAACATATCTGTAAGTGATGTAACATATTCTGTTTTACACCATTGAAACCAATGTTTTATTCAAAATTGCAGCAACTTTTGATAGTTTACAACGCTCCTCTTCAGGCTGATTTGATTAGACTCAAATCAAACAAGATTTTTTATATTTAAATAAAATAAGAACATAACAGGCAACATAAAAAAGTTGCCTAGTATGTTCTTGTTTTATTTAGATCCAATAAATAGTATGTCAGTTAAAGTTGTATTGTTATACCTTAATTATTCCATTATTAATTTTTTAAGTAAATTTCATAACATGAAAATTATTTACTTCTTTCACTGATTAAATTTAATATTAATACCTCATTTGAATTCATTCTTTTTAACCAAATATTACATTACTATTAAAAAATTCTTTAAAATGTGCAAATTATAATGTTATAATGTTACATAACAAAATAGGTTTTCCAAATGCTGGTGTTAAAAATGGATAAATTAATTAGTTTATCTGTTTTTACTTATGTAGATACATTTGTGTAATTAAAATTTATTATAATAAAAAGTTTAATTTTTCTTGAGAAGTAATAATTCTTAAGATCAATGACTTAGATTTGAAAAAATGAAATAACCTGTTAAATTAATTACATATAAGAAAGCATTTTAAAATTAACAGGGTGTTAATTTTTACATATATAAAAATGTGGACTGGATATTTTGTCTGTTAAATTGAGGTTTAACTGTGATAGATAAATTTTAATAGCCATGAAATTATTATAACACATAATAACATTAATAAAATAAAAGAATCACGTTCTCTATCTAAGCCTACTATTTGCAATTAATATATATTTCTCAACTAAATTTTTCTTAATATTTTTTGCATTATTTTACTGATGTATTAATGTGTCATTTAAGTACTATTGTGCATACTTATTCTGGTCTTTTATTTCTAAATCTTGGAAGGAACTACACAAATTAAATGGCTTTTATAAAAAAAGTATGTTATTGATAACAAAAACAAATTATCATCAGAATAAGTGCAACATACATCTGGTCTGTATAATGATTAATTCTAATACTGACTGACCCCAGTATTGTAAGAATAATTCATAAAAAAGAAAAATTCATCTATTTATTTCATGAATGTCAAATGTGTAATTGGATACATTTCTTATTGAAATTAACTTATTAGTTTCTAACACTTACCCAATAGAGAGATTCAATAACTTCAGGAAAAAAAATGCCCATTATACCATGGTAGATAGAAATACCTGTTCCAAAGCAAAATATACCAACACCACTGATTAAGGAAGCAACATATCTCATGTTATGATAGCCATATCTACACGTATCAGGAAAATTTCTTTAGTACATTTAACTAAATTTATGAAAAATATTTTAAAATTCAAAATTAACATACGGATGGTCCACGTCAGGTCTCTGAATTGATTTGCGAATTCCGAAAGCTAAAATTATCTAAAAAAAATGTATAAATCAATTTTCTATGGAATTTAATTTTTTATAATAAAATGATTTATGTAATATATACTGTTTGAAGGAAAAAATAAATAGGTTAATAAAAAATTTTAAACACTAATTAATTCTGTTTTTAAAAAGTAATTGTTGTTATTTTTTTAATACACTTAAAATGATTACAATGATTTTTTTTAATCATTTCTAAAACCTGTAACTGAATGAAAATATTTATGCTCTTTACAAATAGCAAGAAAAGTAAAGATTAAATATTTACCTGATTGCAAGTATCAGCTAAAGAATGAATTGCTTCAGCAAACATGCTATGAGATCCTGTGTATAACCATGTAATGAGTTTAAATGCAAAATTAGCTCCATTTCTGCAAAATATTTATAAAATTTTTAAATTAACTGAAAATATTATAAAATCAAAATACATTTTTTAAAACTTTATTAAGTATTTTTTTATAATATATAAATATTTACAAGTAAAAGAGAATGTTTTATTATGGGTGCGCCAATAATAAAACATTTTTCCAATTGGATAGAATAAACCCTCGATCTTTCAAGAATGGAAGTAGGATCCCTGCCCTTGCTATTTATTCTATCCCATTGGAAAATATGTCGGGTGGGCACACCCATTATATTGGCACGACAACCAGAATGTTTTTTTGTTGTATTTCAGAACATCAGTATTCTATCAGGAAAAGAAAAGAATGTTTTATTGGTTCAAATTTCTCTAATTTTATATTTGTGTAAAATCAGTATTTCAATAATAATCAAAATATTCAGGAAAGTGCATGGATGTGTCAAAACTGTTTCAAAGAGTGTTTTCTTTGTTTTCAGAAACCTTTTCAATTCAATAAAAAAAAAGATCATGTAACATTATGAATAACTGATAATAGTTATTGATATACTTGGGACATAACATTATTTTGATTAATTAATTAACAGAATATACAATTTATAAAATTGTTGTCTATCTTTACACTTGGAGTGATCAATATTTCAATGAAAAGATATATTTTTGGTTACTAATAAGAGAAAATAAAAGAAAATCTTTATTTTCTTGCTATGTTTAGTTGGATATAGAGTTTAAAAATACTGAATTACCTTCTTAGTCATAGTGTAATCTTTTTAATTAATAGTGTTTTGAAAGTTGGACAAAGATGCTTTTTTAACAGAGTTAAAAAAAATGTTTATATTTATATTTTTAACTTCTATGCAATGTAAATGTTGAAGATAATAATACCTTCAAGACCACTTAATTCTGAATGTCAATAACAAACCAATATTTAAATTAAGAACTGTTTTTCCCCAAAAATAAGACCAGGTCGTATATTAATTTTTGTCCCAAAAGATGCATTAGGTCTTATTTTCAGGGGATGTTTTGTCCAAAGGTGCCAGCTTGGGTATTTACAAATACTTTATTTATATTTAATTATATATTATAATTATTATTTTATAATTCAATATGTCCATTGTGGGTTGCAACAGATATATTAAATATGACCATCTGGCTGACGATCTTAACTGGGGCTTATTTTGGGGTAGGGCTTAAATTACGAGCATCCTGAAAACTCATGCTAAGACTTATTTTCGGGGAAATGCAGTAATTATTATAATAGTTAATCCTGAGATATAACTTTTTAACTGTTATAATAACTGTTATAATTTTTTTGTAAATAGTCACAATTCAATTTTTAATTGAAGATATCCTGGGTTGTTTATGTTATCATGTATGCTGTTAGTGTAACATATCTGTAAGTGATGTAACATATTCTGTTTTACACCATTGAAACCAATGTTTTATTCAAAATTGCAGCAACTTTTGATAGTTTACAACGCTCCTCTTCAGGCTGATTTGATTAGACTCAAATCAAACAAGATTTTTTATATTTAAATAAAATAAGAACATAACAGGCAACATAAAAAAGTTGCCTAGTATGTTCTTGTTTTATTTAGATCCAATAAATAGTATGTCAGTTAAAGTTGTATTGTTATACCTTAATTATTCCATTATTAATTTTTTAAGTAAATTTCATAACATGAAAATTATTTACTTCTTTCACTGATTAAATTTAATATTAATACCTCATTTGAATTCATTCTTTTTAACCAAATATTACATTACTATTAAAAAATTCTTTAAAATGTGCAAATTATAATGTTATAATGTTACATAACAAAATAGGTTTTCCAAATGCTGGTGTTAAAAATGGATAAATTAATTAGTTTATCTGTTTTTACTTATGTAGATACATTTGTGTAATTAAAATTTATTATAATAAAAAGTTTAATTTTTCTTGAGAAGTAATAATTCTTAAGATCAATGACTTAGATTTGAAAAAATGAAATAACCTGTTAAATTAATTACATATAAGAAAGCATTTTAAAATTAACAGGGTGTTAATTTTTACATATATAAAAATGTGGACTGGATATTTTGTCTGTTAAATTGAGGTTTAACTGTGATAGATAAATTTTAATAGCCATGAAATTATTATAACACATAATAACATTAATAAAATAAAAGAATCACGTTCTCTATCTAAGCCTACTATTTGCAATTAATATATATTTCTCAACTAAATTTTTCTTAATATTTTTTGCATTATTTTACTGATGTATTAATGTGTCATTTAAGTACTATTGTGCATACTTATTCTGGTCTTTTATTTCTAAATCTTGGAAGGAACTACACAAATTAAATGGCTTTTATAAAAAAAGTATGTTATTGATAACAAAAACAAATTATCATCAGAATAAGTGCAACATACATCTGGTCTGTATAATGATTAATTCTAATACTGACTGACCCCAGTATTGTAAGAATAATTCATAAAAAAGAAAAATTCATCTATTTATTTCATGAATGTCAAATGTGTAATTGGATACATTTCAGTATGCATAGAACAGATGCATACTGGAACTGTATCGGTAAACTGTGATGAACTAAAATGTGTTCCAATATTCTTCGATAAATTTGTCAGTGCAGTGACTGATACACATCACATTTGTCAAGCTGCAGATATGGTGAGTTCTGATGAAGCTATATGGCTGCCTGCATGATTGTTATTAGCTCCATTTTTACTATCATCTTTATAACCCAAAGTTATTTTGAGAAAATAAAAGTCTTCAATGCCAATATAGTACTTTTTGCTTCTGCCATCTTATTAGACTGCCAAACATTCCAGTAAAAACTTATTAAACCATTCACTGGTGCATCAGTTGTGGCTGAGACTGATGCATACTGGAATGTTACTATCAGTTCTATCAAAATATTTTCTCTAAAAATTTCTAGCAAACTACAATTTTAAAAAAAATACAACTAACTTGAAACTAACTAATATATAAAAAATTTTAAAATGCTTCATAAAGGAACAATTATAGTAAATTCAAATTTATTAAAGTTATAAAAGTCAAGATTAATTAAAATTAAAAATTTGGTAAACAGTATTTACATTAAAATATGAAATGTATAAATATATTGAAGTGACAAAATGTCTATTTTCCATTGTTCACAACACCAAACAACAGTCCAAAACAATTTTCACTTATGGCATTGTGAACAATGGGAAATGAAAATATTTTGTAGTTTTAACATATTTATATATATCATATTTTTACAGTTCAGATTAATGTTTATTAAATAAATTTCATTAAAAATTACATACATCATTACTGCAGTCATGACTACTCGTCCAGATCCTCTTAATATAGCCTCTCTTTTCTGAAATAAAATAAATTGTTATTCATATCATAAAATACATATATACTTCATGAATTTAATGCAAAATATCTGAAATCTAAATTTCAATATATATTTTACAATTGTATTTGTTTAAAAAAATTAAATTAGCTAATCTATTAAATAACAATGCTTAATTATATTATGTTATGTCACAGATTATAATTACTGTAACCAGTGGTGATATTCAGCGGGTTCACACAGGTTCGGCCGAACCCGTTGTTAACATTTTCAAAGTTTTCTGAATCCGTTATTAAACACACGTAACATTTCTCAGTGGCTTTGTTTCTTTTAAAAAATGTATTAAAATATATGTATTATACTCTGTAACACTACTAAACTAAAGCCTTATACCCCATTCGCCTTGGTGCGACCTCCCTTGACCGTTTCAATCGTGGTCGACTCAAGAGAGTTCTTGAAACTAGATCCAGCATAAGAGAGATCCCACAATCCCACGCATGTGAGAAAATACAAGATGGCTGCAGAACACGTGAACCATTTTGAACACACTTTTTTATTATTTATAAATATATATATAGTCTGGCATAAAAAATGTTAAATTTAATTTTGATTNACAATAAAAGTTTTAAGTAACAATGGAAGTGTCAACAATGGAAATCTTACGTAACAATGGAATTGTTAAGAGAAAGCGACGTGCGATACACAGATGCAGTTTTTTCGTTTTTGCAGGAAATCGAACATATTTTTAGACCCATCTAAAAATTCTCTAAGGGGACCCAATTCTTGCATTCTGTGAAAACAGGTAAGGTTGATTGTAACATAATAATCTTTATCTTAGTTATCGTTACTTTTGACCGAGCAACGCCGGGCCCACCTGCTAGTTATTTAATAAATATTACTTTAATTATAATTATTAAATTTGATAGGAGATGGTACCTAATGTCTTCCTCTGGTGACAAATTATTTAGTAATTAATTAAATAGAATTGCGAAAAAGTAGCCCGATGTAATCCAATAGTTGTTTGGCTTTACAAATTTATCAGGTTTTATGATGTTTATATATAAATATATACAAAATTTTACATATAAAATGATTAATGAACATAGTTATAATTAAAGTGATTAGAACAAAAATAATATTTAGTGAAATATAAACAACTTACGTTGGTTTTAATAAATATTCATTCATGGCTCGAAGAGGAGTTATGAAATTCCTTTCAGTAAAAATTTTAGTAACATCTAGTTTTTTGCGTGGAAAAACTGTAAATAATTTTGTACATTTTAAATTAATTTTGTAAACATGCTGATTATGTATAAGCAGATTTGAACAGAAATTTCTACATGTAACGATTGTAGAGCAGCCACAAATTAAATATAATTTTAAAATAGTATTAAATACTTATTCTACAATTATCAACAAAGCAAAAAATACACTAAACTCAGATGTAGAAGTTAAATGTTTAGCAAAGAAGAGTTTTTTAAGATCAAAATGTTTCATCATCATATAAATAATTTATTTAATACAATGCTAACTTGATGATGAGAAAGATTATTTCTTTAGCAAGATATCTAAACTTTATATATAGGAAATTAAATAATGTTAATTTCCAAATAAAGTCAGTTTTAGTAGTGGTGATAAATCATCACCACTAAACTCAACAACCCAACTAAATCTGATATACAAATCTTTATTTGGGAAAATATTTCCATATTCCCTCTTCCACACTACAATGATATGTCCTTGCAAAAAAGCAAAAAAATAAATGAAATGTTTATAAGCTATAAATTTATTTTTAAAAATTTACCTTTATAAGTTCTTGAAAATTGTAACAGACAATAACACTGTAATTTTTCTGTTCCAGTTATAAGTGAAGAATACCTTTTGCATTCAGTATGTAGTTTCATTTTTCGGATACTTATTTGTAATGTTTTCAACATTCTGAAAAAACGATACATATTATAAATTTGAAATATTTGAAACATCAAAAAATTTAATCAAGAAACTAACAAACAGAAATACTTAAATAATGTGTTATATAAAAGTTAATGAGGAGGAAGTTGTCACTAATTTTACACTCTGCCCATTATTTGTATAATGTACTATTATTTTTTGGTTTATTTTAGTATAAATTAATAAATACTTTAAATATCAGTCTCATTCTTTTGTTTCCCAAATTTTATAAAAACCAAGACGACTTTTTTGAGATAAATAGCATTATCACTTCATAATAATTTTCAATAATCAGAATATTGTGATTTCTTTTATTGATTAATTTAAAACTTTGGAAAATATAAATTTGAAGTGTGATTCAAATGAGTACATCATCAATCAACCNTAAAGAGATCTCAATGATGCTTAAAAAAGAATAAATTTAACATGAAGACTGAATGATTTTAAGTCTGATTAGTCTGACTCTGAGTCTGATTAGTTAGAGTGATTAAATTAGCTAGGTGTATACTGTAAAATATGTTGATTTTTGTCTAAATTTTGATTTGTTGATTTTTGTCTAAATTTTGATTTGTTGATTTCTGTAAGATTTTCTTAGTTTTTATTAACCCCCAATACCGAAATAATCCCGGGATTAGAAATAAGGACCGGGATCGAATTCCCTATTTGTGTCTCACTTCAGGTCACTTCTTTTCTTCCAGAATCTTTCTTCTAAATTAATTACTAAAATATTAATTTAATTATAATTATTAAATTTAGCAAGAGATGGCACCTAACACCTGCCTCTGTTGCCAAATTACTTAGCATTTAATTAATAATAGTGGTACTGATATAGCTCAATATAATTTGGCAGTGGTTTGGATATTATTCAAAAATACTTTATTTGAATCATTAATCTAATCTTTCGCTCATATATGGTATTCTTAAATAATATGATCTGGTGGTGATCCAATTTGATAAGGAATAAGACGTATGCTGTTTGAACTTTCTAATTTTATGATTGAAAAGTTAAACAAGATTAAATATTAAAAACAACACATTTCTATTCATTTATAAACAATATAACTTATAAATTTTTATAAGAAAATTAGTTTAATAAGTTTACATGAACTAATACAATTAATTTTCCAAAAATAAGACAATATCATTAATCTAATCTAATAAAGAAAAGCTATTTCACCATGTTGTTAACTATCACTAATACTCGGCACTATATTGAAATAAAGAATTAAACAGACTGCTTGTTCAAGGAAATCAAAAAGTAATTAGTCAATTACTTTTTAGTGAATACAATTAGTGAATTTCTCCATCATTATTCTGGCCATCCTCAGCTTCCAATAAGCAATTTGTTTAATTTTTGATTGTTAATAAAACATTATATAATAAAATTAGTAAAATAATGTGTCTTTAAATTCTTACATTTATTTTAATAATTTATCATCATTTTTTTTATTACCATATTTTCACCTGTATAGGCTGCAGATTATCAATGTTTGAAAGACAATTTCAAAAGGGTTGTGGGTTATATCCTGATTTTAAATCGCAATTACAAACTTGCAACTATAAAGTAGCCATTGTACCACAGATACAAAATATACAAAGAGGCAGGTTTTATTTTCATTCTAGCAATTTTCTGCAAGATAAACTGTGACTGTATGCTATCAGAAATTATTCATACAAAAATATGGTCTTTATATTAGAAAATTAATATTCAATAAGTAACATACAGGGTAAGTGAAAAATAACTAACCATTGAGAAATTGTTATAATTTTTATGTTTCTAATACAAAGATAATGGAAATTATTTGATGTATACTCTATTAAATGGAAATACAAATGCATATATTAAAATTCAATGTACACATTAGCATCATCCAACAACTTCCTCAAACGACCAAGAATTGTGACATGGATGGAATGACCCTTTATCTATCTATACACCTGAAATCAAATCTGTGGTTATTAATTTTGAATAGCAATTCTTGATTATTTCCAGACAGACTGTGGCATGATGTCCCTTCAACGCATGCCATCATCTCTACACAACCAACAACTTCCACACCTCATAGCATGCAGCGATCTGCACTCTTTCCTGAACAGTTAAGCAGTTGGCCATCTTTTATGCTACCTAATATACAGCCTCTCTCAGACACTGCCCACATCATTGATGCAGAAATTATAAAATTCAATTGATTGATGTACATGCACACAAATTTCATTACAAATGCATTATTATTGCAAAAATTACAGCAATTTCTCAATGTCTAGTTACTTTCCATCCATCCTGCATTTTATGTATTAAACTAGAAAATTTTAAATAATATTGAAAAAATATTTTAACTAACCATCTTTATTTTTCAATTCTAATTCTCGTTTCTTTTTTAATTCTCTTTGTAAAGCTTCCATGCTTCCCCAAACTTCAATAGCTCTAAATAAAATTAATACAGTTTTCTTAAACTATCAAGAATGTAACAAAAAATTAATATGATTAAAAGCAAAAGTTATTATAAAAAAAAATATGAATCATCATCAACAAATAAGTATAAAAGTTGTAATAAAGCAAGTTTCCTTCTTTATTTCTTTGAAAATGCATAACAGTTCCATTTTGCTTGCTCCTCACACAACTATAAATTTATCTGAATATGCCATTTTTAATACACTATTTTTCATAAAAGAAAAGTCTTTATCTAAAAATCACTATGTAATATACTATATAATACTATTTAATATATAATTACATTAATACTATATAATACTATTTTATAAACTGTTATCTATCTTCTCATTTACTGTATATTTAGAAGAAGAGTTTTCCCTGTCTACATGATATTATCTTTGCTTTTTGAAAGGCAAATAAATAAATATTTTGGATACATTTTAAGGTTTAATCTTTGTCTTTTCACTTAATTATCTTTACTTCAACTAAAAACCTTAGAGAATTCAATATAAATTAAATTACTGTAGTAGAAATTTATTTTAAAAAATTTTACATAAAATGTATAAAAAAATTCATTTTTCTAAAACTGAAATACGATTGTTTATTTGCATTATTCAATATTTTTCAAAAATAATTTCTTAAACAAAAATCTTTAATATTTAATATGGAATTTATGCTAAAACAAATGATTTTAGCTAAGCTTAATTAACCATTATCAGGTTTCAATTGAACATAGAAAGTATAAGATTCTAAACTGATAATGCTTGATTGAAAAAATTAATTAAGTTGTTTAACATATTAACTGCTAATCTGTTATTGCTAAAATCACTCTCCTGAGACATTTTGATTTTGTATATTTTTATTGTGTAAACTTTTTCATTTTTTTCTAAATAAATATTTTCTTCTGTGAGGACACAATTATTTTTATTTCTTAATCCAGATGTTCACTATTCTAAAATCCAAAATTAAAACTGGAAGAGATAACTTGTAAAATGAAAACAATTCACACTTTTCTAGCAAAAGGATTTATGGAACAAATGTTTTTGGTTTATTAAATTTGAATTTCATAATTTTATAAATTGAAACCAGAGACAGGTTTATAAAATAAACCAAAAACGTTTGTTATGTAAATCCTTTTGCTGGGAAGGTGTAAATGGTTTTCATTTTATGAAAAATGTCCACTATTCATTATTAACATTTTTTTTTTACAAGTATGTTCATATTGGATCTGTATATAGGCCAGATTATGTTTCATAACTCATAGGATGTTTCCTAAAAGAAATCACCTACAAGTTAACTCATAGTCAGCAGTTAATGTGTAAAGTCATTTTTTGAATTGAAACATATATGGATTGTAATTGTAGCTCTAGAATCTTACACTTTTTTTTTATTTGATTAGAATCTGACAATGATTAGTTAAGTCATCCAGAAATGTTTGTTCTAGAGTAAATTTTATGCTAGATATGAACAGTTTTAGTTCCTTACACTAAATTCATCCAGTTATTGTAATTAATAATATATTATTAAGTTAATTAAATTTGACTTGATGATAAAAAAATTGAGAAAAATTTATTAATAAAATTAATGCAATTTAAATGTTAATTTGTTTATAAATATAAATAATTACTTTCTTTTAATTTTACAATGTAATATTTAATAATAAAAATCATAAGAAAATATTTATGTCAGTATATTATTTTAAATTGTAAAATTTTTAAATAATGATTCCAAATGAATATTTAAAATTTTATAAAAATTTATATATTGTAATTATAAAATAACCAAAAAATTATATAAATTACTAACGATATTTCATCATTTTTACAGATATGCATTAAAAGATTTACTTTAATTCGACATCTTTTCTTAAATATACATTTATGGGAGGACTTTCTTCGTACGGACTACGTCTTTGAATTTTCCTTAACTCTTCTAAATCTCTGAAATATTCAGATTGAATTGTTAAAAAACAATCACCAACAATACAAATAAAATCATTACAAATTATAACAAAATTAAACATTTGTTATAATACCTTAATTATTTTATAATTAAGACACAGTATAATTAAATGTAGAAAAATTTATAAAAGATAATTTTACAATTTTAAAAAAAATGAAAACAACATTCATAATCTCCATAACATGACTATTTTTAATTCATTGAATAATAAATCTATGCTAGTGGAATAAATTCCTACTAGTTTCTCATTTCTATTCCAAGAGAGCTAAGATATTTATAGACATAGATGTTGCCAAGACAGTAAAATTCATATTTCTTTGTGAATGGTTAACATTGATAAGTAGTGAAGAAAATTCAAAATAATTAAAAAGATCTAACATTGGGACTTTAATCAATCTTATTTCATATCTGCAAATATTACTAATTTAACTCATTAAAGGAATTTACAGTGTTTAACTAATATAATCAATCACAAATTCTTCTCTCAATAGAACTGGACATTGTATGAAAGGAAGGACACAGTAAGGGTCACTGTATCAACAACAAAGATGAGAAGCAAGTGTCCCATGCCTGGCAAACAATGTACAGTTCTATACTTTTCAATGGTCTTCCAATCAAATAATGTGCATACTAGCTATGTGTTGGCTATTTAACTTTTGAATTCTGTCTTGGTTCTTCTTCCAACATTCCATTTTATAATGACTTCTACCTGCCAAAGGTGTTAGGAGTATACTGAAAACATTTGTAGAACTTTTTAATTATGTTGCTGGACCGATTTGAGGCTGTGATATGTGTTCTTCCTTTTATTTTCTACTGTTTGAACAACTGTTATCAGGTCATAATCAAATAGAATTTTCTTTTTTATGAAATATGTAAATACATATCTAATATTTTATTATTTTGCAATTGCATATTATTTCTAATAGTAAAATAATTAACATTTACAAAGTTTAAATCTTATTAAATTGACTAATATGTTAATGATCTAATAGTTTGACTTGCTAAAAATGACTATATTTATAAATTTTTAAAAAGTTTCCATGATGAATTTAATTATATTAGTACAAATTTAACAAATATATAAGACGAAACAACTACCAGATTACATTGGGCTACTTTTTTTGCAATTATATTTAATTAATATTTATTAAATAATTTAGAATATTCAGGAAGAAAAGAATTGGCAATGGAGCAAGACTCAAACCAACAACTCCCACTTACTGTGTTGATGCATTGCATTGACGCTACCCGAGCTTTCTGTCTGACTTATAGCAGGATGGTTATAGCATATTTAAAATATGATATTCTGGATACCATCCTCAGTTACATATGGAAGAAGAAATCAGACTGGAAGCTCAGGTGGTGTAACTGGCAATGCATCCACACAGCAAGCAGGAGTTGTAGGTTTGAGTCTTGCTCCATCGCCAATTCTTTTCTTCCTGAGTATTCTAAATCTATAATATAATCGAGACGGGTTGATGATAATAATAATAAGTGCAGAGCCCAAACGGTTAGGAGTTGGAAGCTGAAATTTGGTACACAGTTAGGGTACGTCACGAAAACGCACACTAAGAAGGGATTTTTCGAAATTCCTCCCGGGGGGAGAAAGACAGGATTAAGGCTTAACACTTCCATCAACAATGGAAGTGTTAAGTAACAATGGCGGTGTTAGGTAACAATGGAAGTGCTAAGTAACAATGGAAGTGTTAAGTAACAATGGAAGTTTTAAGTAACAATAAAAGTTTTAAGTAACAATGGAAGTGTCAACAATGGAAATCTTACGTAACAATGGAATTGTTAAGAGAAAGCGACGTGCGATACACAGATGCAGTTTTTTCGTTTTTGCAGGAAATCGAACATATTTTTAGACCCATCTAAAAATTCTCTAAGGGGACCCAATTCTTGCATTCTGTGAAAACAGGTAAGGTTGATTGTAACATAATAATCTTTATCTTAGTTATCGTTACTTTTGACCGAGCAACGCCGGGCCCACCTGCTAGTTATTTAATAAATATTACTTTAATTATAATTATTAAATTTGATAGGAGATGGTACCTAATGTCTTCCTCTGGTGACAAATTATTTAGTAATTAATTAAATAGAATTGCGAAAAAGTAGCCCGATGTAATCCAATAGTTGTTTGGCTTTACAAATTTATCAGGTTTTATGATGTTTATATATAAATATATACAAAATTTTACATATAAAATGATTAATGAACATAGTTATAATTAAAGTGATTAGAACAAAAATAATATTTAGTGAAATATAAACAACTTACGTTGGTTTTAATAAATATTCATTCATGGCTCGAAGAGGAGTTATGAAATTCCTTTCAGTAAAAATTTTAGTAACATCTAGTTTTTTGCGTGGAAAAACTGTAAATAATTTTGTACATTTTAAATTAATTTTGTAAACATGCTGATTATGTATAAGCAGATTTGAACAGAAATTTCTACATGTAACGATTGTAGAGCAGCCACAAATTAAATATAATTTTAAAATAGTATTAAATACTTATTCTACAATTATCAACAAAGCAAAAAATACACTAAACTCAGATGTAGAAGTTAAATGTTTAGCAAAGAAGAGTTTTTTAAGATCAAAATGTTTCATCATCATATAAATAATTTATTTAATACAATGCTAACTTGATGATGAGAAAGATTATTTCTTTAGCAAGATATCTAAACTTTATATATAGGAAATTAAATAATGTTAATTTCCAAATAAAGTCAGTTTTAGTAGTGGTGATAAATCATCACCACTAAACTCAACAACCCAACTAAATCTGATATACAAATCTTTATTTGGGAAAATATTTCCATATTCCCTCTTCCACACTACAATGATATGTCCTTGCAAAAAAGCAAAAAAATAAATGAAATGTTTATAAGCTATAAATTTATTTTTAAAAATTTACCTTTATAAGTTCTTGAAAATTGTAACAGACAATAACACTGTAATTTTTCTGTTCCAGTTATAAGTGAAGAATACCTTTTGCATTCAGTATGTAGTTTCATTTTTCGGATACTTATTTGTAATGTTTTCAACATTCTGAAAAAACGATACATATTATAAATTTGAAATATTTGAAACATCAAAAAATTTAATCAAGAAACTAACAAACAGAAATACTTAAATAATGTGTTATATAAAAGTTAATGAGGAGGAAGTTGTCACTAATTTTACACTCTGCCCATTATTTGTATAATGTACTATTATTTTTTGGTTTATTTTAGTATAAATTAATAAATACTTTAAATATCAGTCTCATTCTTTTGTTTCCCAAATTTTATAAAAACCAAGACGACTTTTTTGAGATAAATAGCATTATCACTTCATAATAATTTTCAATAATCAGAATATTGTGATTTCTTTTATTGATTAATTTAAAACTTTGGAAAATATAAATTTGAAGTGTGATTCAAATGAGTACATTATCAATCAACCATCTAAACTCTAAGCCAAACTATTTGCTATATTGTACTAAGTGTCAGCAATCCACAGCTACAGAGCTATAATTAATATGTGGTTCTGAGAATGATCTGACTCTTGAAACACTCTCTCTTACTATACAGACAATGTTGATTAATAAGACAGCTCTGTCAGTACCAGTAAATTAAATCTTAAAATATTACTATAAAGTATAATCATTTTAGAGTTGGGATTTTAATTAAGTATTTATAAACCATAAGCACAAATAGGAACAATGTAGTGAAATATTTTTACACCAATGGTCATGTAATTTGGTATCACAGATTCAATTTTTTAGGGTTTAAGTTTAAAAGTACTTGCTTTGGGAAAAAGTACATTTTTATTTTATAAGATGTTACCAGCACAAAAGCTGTAGCAGGTGTTTTAAAAGCTTATGGCCAGTAGATTTACAGACTATAACACAACAAATATTAACAACTGGTTAATTAAACTTACAAATTAATAAACTCTGCAATTACCTAAAAAATCAGCAACTATATTTTAAACAAAGTGCAAATGTTTTTGTCCCTGTTGAACAGAACTGTTGAGAAAACACTGGGGATTGCTGAACATGTATACAGGGGGAAGGGTGTATGACATAAGATGAAAGATGAAGTGAGGGGAAGGGAGAGCTTATAATTTATAGAGACTTCTAGGCAGTGGAGAAGGAGTCAACGTCATGATAGTTTATGGCTGACTTATGGCAGGTGGCCTTGTAAATGTTTACTTGTTCCAATGTTTAAGGACAACATATTGTTTAGATGTGTTATGTAAGAGATGTGTCTCGTGGAAATTACCTGAATGATTAGATAGCCAAAGCTGCATTTGTTAAACCTTTTTGATGGACATTTGATGTCCTTTGAGATGTATATGTAACAGGCGAGATGTAGCTCCAATGTATTGTAAGCCACAGTTGTAGCAATGATCAATGATGGGGATGCCTGGCAGGTGGTACTTGTAGGGATGGTCTTTGGCATTGCGGAGAAGTGAGGCAATAGTGGGACTTCTGCAGAAAGCTAACCAAAATTGGTTTCTTTGTGCAATCTCTTTGTATAGGATGGCAAGAGACTTGTAGGTAATGGCCCCGAACAATTTTTTCTTCATTAAAGGGTTTAATTAGTTGGGTGAAGGTGATGTTGGAAAGTCTGCGAATAAGTTCCCTAATAGTGTACAGGGATTACCCATGCTGGATGGCATACTGGGTGATAGCAGGAAGCTCCTTCTCTCTTTCCTGTTTGCTAGAAGAATTGGTAAATACTCTCCGAATTAAGGCTCTAAAAATGGGCAATTTCAACATCAATGGATTGTGGGATGAGGCTGGGATGAAGGTTGGATGGATGGTGGGTTTCCTTTAGACATGTGTAGATATGCGCCCATGGTTTGTGGTGATCTGGAGGTCCAGGAAATGAATGGAGTTGGGCATTGTCCTGTTCAAGACGGAGCACTAGGCCAAAGGGGTTGTGGTTGATCAGTTATAAGAAATCCATAATGACAGAGTTATCCTTCCAAATTATAACAATATTGTCTACATATCTGGTATATAGGTGAATGTGGCTGGTGAAGATGGGAAGAACAGTGGTTTCAAGTTGACAAACTACTAATTCGCATAAGATACCATGTAAAGGGCTGTCCATAGGGACCCCTTTATTTTGTAGGAATGTTTCTCCTTTAAATGAGAAAAAGGATGAGTGACAGAGAAGGTCAGTTAATTCCAATATGTGTTTGTGGTGTTTATCTGCATCCTTAATATGGGAGAGAAGGAAGTCACGGAGGGAACAGAAACAAGGTTCAATGATGGAGAGATGATAGAGGGGTATAGTGATTGGAAGTCCAAGACCATGAAGTGAAGCATATCCTGGATGTTAAGATCCTTGAGGCAAACTATTAGTTCCAATGAGTTAGTGATGGAATATGGGTTTGGAGGGAGGCGGTCCATGATAAAGCTTTTCATCTTTTTTTCAAGATGTATGGTAGGTGATGATGCTTTATCTACAATAGGTCGCAGTTGGTTGCCAGGTTTGTGAGTTTTGGTAAAGATGAAGATGCATGGGGTAGCTAAGCCATGAAAGCAGCATGGCGGAGTTGGAGAATGCCTGTCAGTGGGGTGTTGGCCTTTAGGGTGACAATATCTTGTGCTTTCATCCATGCTTTGGTGTCTTGAATGGATTTCCAAATGGTTGCTTCGTACCTATAAGCATATATATTTCTGATGGTAAAAACTGTTTTACACTGGTAAAATTCTTTATGTAAATCTTCCATACTTTCTTGGAGTTTTTCTACTTCTGGGATGATAATCTCGGATACTATCATAGAAGGTGGAAGGGCATAGGACGGGCCAAATTTGGTGGCTTGCTGTATACAGTCAGGGGGAATGATGATGTCCCATTTGTTCTTTGTTTAAAATATTGTTGCTAGTGTTTTAGGTTATTGCAGTGTTTATTAATGACAAAGAATGTAGTTTTTCTTCATTTTTTCTATTTCAGAAAGTGAAACACATAAGAGAATAAAAATTATCAACATGGTTAATTAATGAGGAAGAGAATTAATTTTAAATGAGAGATAATAAAATTCTGCACAATGACTAAATAAGTAACAAGAATACAGACAAAACACTTACACCAGTATACCTCAAATTAACACATTTTTACTAACGTTTTCATTTGTTTAGATCAGACATCTTTAGGTATATAGATCACAGAACAAAATGGACAAATTAAAATCAAACAAGCTTTTATAAACAAATTACAAAAAAAATTTGTAATATGTAATAGAGACCAGAAAAAAAAAAAATGCAAAAATTAAGTAGAATGATGAGAATGAAGTGGAAGAGGAATAATAACAAACAGAAACAGATAAGGAAATAACAAACAGAAATTCTTTCTGTTTGTTATTATTCCTGATAAGGAAAAGATAAAAATTACAGTGCAGTAGTAAAATTGACAAAGACTGGTTGTCAACTGTATTGCCATGCTTAGAAATCATTTACTTTGTTTATTTAGAAGTTCTTTATATTTCTCTCTCAATGTTTTGGGTTTATTTTTTAAGTGATCCTCAAATCATATATTTTACAGATATATTCAAAAAGTTCCAGGAATGAGCCAAAAAATTTAAATATGACAGGACAAAAAAATTTAATATTTAAAAAAAAAAGAAAAAATTATCTTAAATCTTCAATATACAGTTTCCCAATGGTTTCTTCATTTCATAAAACATTTGTAAAAATGACTGTCAGGATTTGCAAATTTTTTTTTCATTTACCTTGTATGAGTTCCATTGACTCAAACTGTTTTATTTTTAAAGTTACTTTCAACTTTGGTCTGCTTCAAGTAATTGTCATAAAATGTTAAGATCAACATGTTTGATGAATTTTTTGCACTACTGTATCTATAATGAAATATCAATTTTAATAAAGAATATGTATTTTTTTTTGTTTTGCTTTTTATGCTGTCAGTTTTTATTCAAAACTCAGCATTTTTTTACCAATGCCCTAGCTATTCCCCATACTAAAGATTGGCAAGTGTGCAATTGTCACATTAATATAATTTTGTTAATTATATACATAGATATGACAAATGATTGAGGTGCTGAGTGAAAATGTTTACTTTTCTATGAGTCCTCAAAAGTATTTTTCTAGTATTTGTGATGGTTGCTGTTGAACATGCACATCTGCATCTAGTCAGCTCGCCCCTCTCCCTCTCAGAAGAGAAAGTTGAAGGAAAAAGTTATGGGAAAGAGATGGAAGATTTGGAGAACAGATGAAGTTAGAGAGTTGATCACCGCTACTTCGACTGCAAGGACATATTTACCTGCCTTTTCAGCTTTCTTTTGTACAAATAAAGTGTAGTGGTAGCAAAATAAAGTTTATTAGTCAACTTCTTTGCTCAGTTATGCAACAGGACAACTGCCATATTTTAAGTTGTATTGTAGTATGATGAAAGTGTAATCTGTGTGATTGTGTGATAATTCAAAATTTATGTCTGAGGCAAAAATTCACTGATTGGCCAAATAGATAATTAATAACATAAGGACTGCCCAGTTTGGAGGAATTACAGTTTAAATTATTTAATTAAAACTGACAGTGAATCAACAATCTCTAGAAATAAAGTACAGTTAAAAATAAATAAAATATTACAACTATAGTATAGTAAAGCCTCATTTTATGATGTGTTTAGGTTCTCAATCCATTGTTCATAAAATGAATTTGTTTTTAAAATGAAGAGAAATTATGATACTGTATTTACTTGAATGTAAGATGCCATTATTTGATGGTGTCTTACATAAGTAAATATCTAAGAGACACTTTAATTTCAATGTGCTTGTCCACAGAATTTTTTTTGAAAAATAGACAACTCAATATAAATTTATACAGAATTTATTGTAAGTAAACTAAGTTATATATCACTGTCTTCTGCAGTATTGAAGTTGAAATCCTCTTCACTTTTCATGTTAAGCTGAATTAATCTTGAATTCAGTGCTCACATCTTTTCACATGCAATTATCTAGAGCACAATCATTTAAAGCATTGGAAATTCTTAAAAAAGTGCTGCATAACTTTTTCTGAGATTTTCATGCAATTACAT